CCTGCGTACGAGAAGAGGGGCACCGGCTGTCCGAATCCAGCTTTTCCACGCGCAGTCCGCACCTGACACTCCAAGGTGCCATCCCTCGTCAACTCAAGTGCCAGTCCTCGATTTAACTCCAAAGCCAGAGCTATTTTCAAGAGACCTTTTACATTTTTTTCACCGAAGTGCACGTGATATAGGCCGTAGACTGTTTAAAAACTCGATCAAAGAGTATCAAAACTTTTTTTTTCTTTAAAGAAAAATCGGAACCATTTCCTATCCTCCAATTTCCAGAAAAAAACTAACATAAACCTATCCAATAAAAAACAAATCCACAAGAAAAAGAGAAAAGGAGATAAATTCGCAAAAAAACACACAAGCACAGAAATAACACCACCTCATCATTCACTACAAACTTACGTACATCCCGTGAGTAAACAGAGCCAAGTAGGGTAAGGCAAACGACACAAAAACTTCAAATTGCAGGAAGCATTGCGGACTGCTGTCAGTTTCGGAAGTCAAGGAATATTTGCAACGTGCACAGTCATTACTTGTGGTCTTGGATGAATGAGGAATGGAGAGAGAAAAGGGGGAAAAGGGGAAAAGGGGAAAAGGGAAAGAGGGGGGGAGAGAGAGAGAGGGAGAGAGAGAGAGAGAGGGAGAGAGAGAGAGAGAGAGAGAGAGAGAGAGAGAGAGAGAGAGAGAGAGAGAGAGAGAGAGAGAGAGAGAGAGAGAGAGAGAGAGAGAGAGAGAGAGAGAGAGAGAGAGAGAGAAGGAAGGGGGAAAGAGAAAGGGGAAGGGGGAGAGAGAAAGGGGAAGTGAAAAGGGAATGACGAGAAGGAAGGGGAAAAACTGGGAACGAAAATGAGAACAGGCATAAAAAGAGAAAACGAAGGGGGAAAGAGAGCGGGAGAGAACACGGTCTAGTAACTCTGGGCAGACTCCCAAGGTCCTCCGCCATCCCTTGTGACGGCATGCAACAAACTGCAGATAATTATACCACACACACTCTCAGAGAGAGAGAGAGAGAGAGAGAGAGAGAGAGAGAGAGAGAGAGAGAGAGAGAGAGAGAGAGAGAGAGAGAGAGAGAGAGAGAGAGAGAGAGAGAGAGGGGGAGACAGAGGGGGAGACAGAGGGGGAGACAGAGGGGGAGACAGAGGGGGAGACAGAGGGGGAGATAGAGGGAGATAGAGGGAGACAGAGGGAGATAGAGGGAGACAGAGGGAGATAGAGGGAGACAGAGGGAGATAGAGGGAGACAGAGGGAGATAGAGGGAGATAGAGGGAGACAGAGGGAGAGAGAGGGAGAGAGGGAGACAGAGGGGGAGACAGAGGGGGAGACAGAGGGGGAGACAGAGGGGGAGACAGAGGGGGAGACAGAGGGGGAGATAGAGGGAGATAGAGGGAGATAGAGGGAGATAGAGGGAGACAGAGGGAGATAGAGGGAGATAGAGGGAGACAGAGGGAGAGAGAGGGAGAGAGAGGGAGAGACTCGCATCACCTCAATAGCATTAAAAAAAGACATGTTAATGCTTTAAACCTACACATCATAGGACCCGCGATGTGCAATATTGAGTAATGTTTATTCAACAGCATCGCATTCAACTTGAAGGTCGTCACCATTGCTTGCGAAGGAGTAGTAGTAGTAATAGGAGGAGGAGGAGGAGGAGGAGGAGGAGGAGGAGGAGGAGGAGGAGGAGGAGGAGGAGGAGGAGGAGGAGGAGGACGAGGAGGAGGAGAAGGAGGACGAGGAGGAGGACGAGGAGGAGGACGAGGACGAGGACGAGGAGGAGGAGGAGGAGGAGGACGAGGAGGAGGACGAGGAGCAGGACGAGGAGGAGGACGAGGAGCAGGACGAGGAAGGTAGTTGTCGAAGCTGGGGCAAGATATCGGTACTGAGAAACAGCGTTGGGTTAAAATCATTTTGGGAATAAAGAAAAAAAGTGACGTTGAGAAAAACGGAGCGAGAAGGGAAAAAAAGAAAGAGCTCACAAACAAAATGGACAGAGAAAAACAAAGAAAAAACAGAGCAAAACAACCATGCTCACAACACTCCTGTACACTCCGATAACGTTCTAAATATATAATGAGAGATACGTAACACACCAATAAACCGAACACGCGTGCCCTGTGCCCGCTCGCCTAAGAGATGGGGCCGGCCCGAAGATTTAATAAAATTATCTAATCTGCCGTCAACCTTGAGATCTATCTATCTACAAGGCCTCCTTCGGGGTACGTTATCTCAAGCACAAGCAGACTCACTCCAATACAGAAAGAAAGAGGGATAGAAGAAAGGGGGCAAAGAGAGAGAGAGAGGTGGGAGAAGGGGGAAACAAGAGAGAGAGAGAGAGAGAGAGAGAGAGAGAGAGAGAGAGAGAGAGAGAGAGAGAGAGAGAGAGAGAGAGAGAGAGAGAGAGAGAGAGAGAGAGAGAAGGGGGAGACGAGAGAGAGAGAGAGAGAGAGAGAGAGAAGGGGGAGACGAGAGAGAGAGAGAGAGAGAGAAGGGGGAGACGAGAGAG